GTCAGCTTAAAAGCCGACGTTGAACAGATGCATAATTTAGTTTCAGTCCGTTTAAAAGAATACACATAAATATTTTCTGATGTGCGCTGGTCAGCGAAGTGTTTAATTACGAAATTTGTTATTACCTAACAGATTTTTTCTAATTAAAATAAAGTTTTGAACGAGGCGAATTTTTGTGATCTCTCTACCTATAACTTTTACGCCGCCAAGGTTGAATCAATCAAATAAAGTGGATAAGCTTGTTTAACGTTAGTAGACACACATGTAGTATAATTCATTTATTGTGTGTGACCTGGCGAGGTAATAAAACTACTGAAATGTCCTTTTAAAAGTGACCGGCCGAATCTAATGGCGGCCAATCAAAACACATTCATGAAAATACCATTATCGGCAATTGTAACTCGGCAATTGTAAATCTATAAATAAATATAGTTTAAGCAAATCATCCACACCACATTATTTCTTATAGACTTAGTACACACCCTCAATCCAATTGAAACAGTGACCTAGACTTGAAAGATTTATAGATGAAATGGATAAAAATAAAAGGATCTGGTATGATAGAACAAAGACATATTTATTCATTGGCATGCAAGTTTGTTAATGCGCCAGACAAAGACAATTGTGATAAAAAGCCTTTTCCCTATCTTCACAGATAGTACAGTAAAGTTAGACGAAAAAATGGCCAATCCTTGAACTCCAAAAATAAAAAGGTCTGATTGCTGAAAGTAAAGTTGTTCATCACCCTTAGCTCTAAATATGGAAAAAGTCTTATCCGAAATAGCGTCGGGTTTAGGAGGGGGAGGGCGGGAAAGTTGTAAAATGAGCTCATTTTTACGTTTTTTTGTAAATATATCCGAAACCATTCCTTTTATACCAAAATGTGTAAAATACTTTTTTAAAGGAAATTTAATTTTACATAAAATTGGTTATACACATTTCACTATGGTAGAAAGAGTGTACTATGTCGAAAACTGGAAAAATGTGAAATTATTTAAATTTATCAAAAGTATTTGGTAGTGAATGCATTATTACTTGAAGGGAATGTACTTCTGAAATTATATGCAATTTCTGAAGTAGAAAATGGTCTACTATCTAACTATGCTGCGAGTACAAAGTACAAAATACCTCTCTCGACACTCATTGCCCATAGAAAAGGTATTCGTGGTCAAAAAAGCACGACCATGGGCAGAAGTACAACTATCCCTTACGAACTTGAAGTAAAATTATCTGAAGGCCTAAAAACTTTAGAAAAGTGGGGATGGGGATTAAGTAGAGCTGAAGTATTGAGGATTGTAGGAGATTTCGTGACCATAAATAAACTCAAAATTCCATTTAAAAATGGAATGCCTCAAGAAGATTGGTTCTTGGGGTTCTGTAAAAGACACAATTTGTCAATAAAAAACCACAATCCATAGAATATGTTCGCAAAAAATGCATGGATCCATTTATAATTAATCAATATTTTGAGTTACTTAAAAAAACTCTACATGACTTGGATCTGAATGATAAACCACATCAAATTTGGAACCTGGATGAATTGGGTTTCTGTCTAGATCCATCCAAGACCAAAGTGGTCGGAAAAAAAGGAGTAGCATCATCTAGAACAACAGGGGGAGTTGGAAGGGAAAACACAACAGTTTTGATGACTGCTAATGCAGCAGGACGTGGTAAAGCGCCCCCTTTAATCATATTTAAGGGTAAGCATATTTGGGACGAATTGGTTGCGGCTGACGGCGATGGTTTTCCGGGTCCAACCTATGCCGCTACTTCAAACGGGTACATGGAGTCCGATATTTTTCTGCGGTATTTCGAGAAAATGTTTCTTTCGCATATTGGTGAAACAAGACCCGTTTTATTGATATCTGACTGACATGTTTCACATGTAGATGAACGCCTTGTAAGGTGCAATTCAAAATAATGTAACAAAAGCAACTGTTGGTAGACGTGGCCTACTTCGATTTGACGTCCATTTTGAGGGTTACAATCAGAGTTGGACTGGGTCAAGCATAGAGTGACCCAGTGACCCGGTGACCCAGTTAGTTTACTGACCCGGTGACCCAGTGACCCGGTGACCCAGTGACCCATCTTGACCCAGTGACCCAGTTTGACCCGGTGACCCATCATGACCCAGTGACCCAGTTGGACCCTGTGGCCCAGCTTGACCCGGCGACCCAGCTTGACCCAGTGACCCATCTCGACCCAGCTTTACCCGGTGACCCATCTTGACCCGGTGGTCCAGTTTAAACCGCTATTTGGATTAAGCTAACTAGTAGAAGAAAATGAATGAACACCAGTAAACAACTGGCAAGCCCTGAAGCAAAGAAATGAAGGAAGGAACTGTTTAGAAATAACATTACTATAATACAATTTGGGACATGGAAGGTTTTTTACGGCAGTTATTAAAGCAAACATCACAGAAATGGCAGTTGTCCAGCAATCGAGTATTATTTTCAACAAACCAGCATTAAGTTTCTTTTATTTCATAATCTGTACACTTGAACCGAGGTCACTGACTTAACTGCGTTATTCGATCAAACTAGGTTACTGGGCCAAATTGGGTCGCTGGGTCAAACCGGGTCACTGGGTCAAACCGGATCACTGGGTCAAACCGGGTCACTGGGTCTCACTGAAGAGAATATGACGTGACCCAGCGACCCAGTTTAATTCAGTGACCCAGGTGACCCAGTTGACCCAGTGACCCAGTCCAACTCTGGTTACAATGTGCAATAAATGACCAAAATGTAATACTTCTACCTTAGTTTACTGATGTTACTTATTATATTAAAAAAGTTTGTAGTATCCTTAATGTTCATTAAAAATATGTGAAAAATAGCCACTTATTGAGAGAACTCTGCATTTTTACACACATGCCCCACATTGACACCCATTTAACTTGGTAGTAAATTATCAAACGGAAACACCCTTGCCCCATTTTTAGGGGCTAATGTACAATAGGGACATTTTTGAAAATAATAAATCATTACACGTGCTTAAAAAATAGTTTATCACACCATAGTTCAGATATATGCAGTCTACACCTCACAAGTAACCCCTGATATGGAGTCAAAGTTAGAACTGAAATAGTTTTTGTAGAAATATTATATTTATCTGAAGTATTAAAATTTTGCTTCACACTTACCCGACCTTACCTTACTAAACTCTTGTTTACTCTACAGCTCCTTATATAACGCAAGAAAACGTAATCCACTGGAAGAGCGGTTAAGAGTCGTTAAAAGTGCAACCGAGATAAAACATTCGCTGTCAAATGTATGGCACAACCACGATCCTCCATTCGACGATTTCTTACAAGTTTCAGAGTAGCTGTTGTTTCGAAATTACTGCAACTGTTCCTCGAGACGATTTGGTTGAAAATGTGTCTGCTGCAAGAAACCATTCATTCCTCTCCTCCATCAAGATAAGCTTGGGTGCCTACCTGTATCGGAAGTTTGGATCCAAAGACCTGGACAATCCCTACGCAGCTATGGGCTTTTGTAAACACTTTTGACGGCGACACGACATTGGAGCCATAATAGTTGTCACCCCTTGTAGCGCGGTGGTACCTGACCCCCCGTTTCCTCGTTTGGGAACAAATATTTCAGCTGGGAAAATAAACTCTTACGCGATCTCAGAAATCAAGCCACTGTCCAAAACTGTCCCCGTGCTGAACTGACTGGTGTGGAGATACTACTAGGTGACTTCCGCTTGTTAATGATGTATAATATATGAAAGCAATCAAATTGGCAATACCATGGTGAGCTCCTTGTCACGATATATGCTCAAAACAATGTTTACTTATAATTCGGAAGACTTAATTACTCATTAACACCCGGAACAAATAAAAAAATAGAAAAAAATTAATTGGCGGAGTAATGGGTCAAATCATTTAGCATTTTAAAAGAAGCTAGATAACGGTACCTACCCCAAAACTAGGCTAGCGTTATGACGTCCGTCAGCTGCCTTCTAAACTCAGGTAAGTTCTCGATTTTTATTAGACGTCCTTTAAGCAAATATTTTGAGCATTTCCTGAAATATTATGAACTATATACGGCTACTTGTGTTTAACCCACATTTTTGCTACTGAATAACGATTTTCCCTCGGATTTTCCCTATTTATTTCAATTTTTTTCTCATCAAAGATAACTAAGTATGTATTTTTCTAATTAGAAAAAATAAGGAATTTATTGGTGCAAAAAATATTATACATGCCATTTGAAAAAATAAACTTTGGTGCCGTATCTTAAAAACTAGGCAGGCTATGGAAAATATAAAAATACCCCATTACTAAGAGACTATTTTTACATAACTTTTACTCTTTCAAAATTGTTTTGATATTCCCACAAAAAACTAAGCTCTAAAGCAAACACTTTTTATTGCTTTTTGGACTTTTGCGCTGTTGTTTAATATCAATAACAATATTTAAACTCGAAATAAATACTGGAAAGTTGTTCACAAATACGACAAAAAAAGTATAGCACCTAGAATACAACGCTGTGGAACACCAGCTGTGACAGATATACAAATACTTCTTTCCCCCTATTTTTTGTATTCTTTCCAACACATAGTAAGCTAACGCGAGTAAATCGAGATGGTATGAGAAAGAGCATAAATTTTAAGGCCATCACAGAAATATGTAAGTCAAAATTAAGTAGTATCGAAGCGGGAGGTCTTGATCGGAAATCAGTTGACACTTTGACAGAGGGCCGTAAAATTGAAGTGGAAAAATCCAGAAGCCCGGGCTGGACGTTTTGTTATAACTACAGCAAGCAACATATGCTCATGGATAGCAGGATTATTTCCACGGTCCACGCTTTCTATATTTGAATTGAAAGAATCTTTCAAAATCGTTAAACTGCATGCAATTCTTTGTTGTTACCTTTTTTTGGGTATATTATGGAAGGGACGGCCCAGACCCGAATCCAGACCGGCCAGTTCATGGGTCGCATTTTTTCGTACTACTTTATATGGGTCAGATTAACCAGATGTACCTATATACTTACATCTATTTTGGTTTGTACACACGTTTGTATTTTTCCGATAATCCGTCCATAGATTACGCGAAATGGAAAGGCACCACAGAAACTAAATTATTACAAAAATTTGTACGCACTGCACATCTTTAAAAACAATACCGAGCGTCCGAATCAAGTTCCTTAATTCAAATGTCACAAGAGCTTTGCAATTAAGGAAAACGAAATTAAATGCATTATAAATCATAACCATTAGAAAAGTTTATTACTTTTTACGTTAACTACGTCGAGACGCTACCGTCATTTTAAAATACGACTACAAGTGGTTCTGAATAGTATCGATTACGCAATGACATAAATCATAATTATGGTTGTACTTACACGCATAACTGTAACTTTAAATAAATCTCGTAAAGGGTCTGTGCCGAAACTGTTTTAGTAGTTAATGTGTTGTTAAATTAAAACGGAAACGAATTATGTTCAATCTTTTTTTATTTGTCAACGAGAATGGTGTTTTTCGTTATGCTACAAATGGTACTACGAGTATATTCATAGCAGTACAAATGTTCTCGTTGTCTTCCATTTATTGTGAAATTAAAAAGGCGTTAATTGTGCTTAAGATCTCCAACTCGTAGTGTGGTGTTAAATTTATAAACAGGTAAATAATTTCAAAATTGTTTAGTGAATCTACTAGCAAAGGTGGACACACGTTATGAGGTTATCAAAGAATTATTTTAATAAAAGAAAGTTAAATAAGTACATGTACATGTATCAACCAAAATGCGTATGCGCAAAACAACATTTTGAAAATGTCGTTAATTTTACTTATATTCGTAGTGTTTACATATAAAGTTTCATTTAAATATTAAAATAAAAAAGTTATAGCATCGCACATGCGTTGAACCCAATTTTTGACACTGCGCATGCGCAAAACCAAAAAATATGGGTATGCACGGAATCCTTAGACCAAGCCCTTTGAAATGTGTCCTATATCGCCAAAATCGGTTCAGTGGTTTAAAAGGAGTACGTGTAACGAACAGACGTCAAAGTGCAGACAATAGCAATTTTCCACTTTGAGGAAAATATGCTAACAAAAGTGGGAAACTGTTGTGCGGGAGTGCACCATCGTGTTGTGTCGTATATCGTTGTATTCGTAATAAAAAATACTACTAAATACAGTGTGTACTTTTTTACGGCCCATATAGCAAATAAAGTTGATGATGATTTCTGCTAAAGGAAGTGTTGTATTGAACATCTCTCACCGACGGTTTGTAGAGCTCAAAAAATGGTAATGAAGAAGTGTTTTTATTTTTCTCTTCTGCTCAACATCAGCAAAAAAAATGAAATCGGCAAATTTCGGTTTTCCTGGTATATCTTCGGAAGTAATCGAAATTCGAGTTAACAGATACGATTGATTTTTTCAAAAAATTGAGGTCCAGTAAAAATCAAAAATCGCAGACTTAAGTTATGTTTCCTATGAAACGTATGACGCAATGCACCGCCTCAATAGAAACCAATGTTCTAACCTGCATGCGGCGGCCGTCTCCAGTTGCATGCGTAAAAACCACACCGCGTCTGACGCACACGTCAGACGCTTCATAGGAAACGTACCTTTAGAAGACCGTGACTCTGCCGTGTTACTAATCCTGAAATGTACTAACATACGCCGAAAGCTCAAAGTTAAACTTCTTTTGTGTTAAAAGAATGACCCGTCAATTTTCAAAATTTCAATCAAAAGTAACTTGATTTTTTTTAATGGAACTACCACATTTTATATTGCATCAAATGCAGGATTTAATTACCTTTCTAGCGATATAAGCATGTTGGTATTTTATTACATATTTTTACAATATACATAATTCAACAATTTCTAATAATTCTCAGTATTATTCGATTTTCAAAGCGTCTCAGAAATCAGTACGTCGTTGTTTTTCATAGCTCATTTTAAAAGATAAAATTATAAATTTTGCATTTAAACCAATAGTAAATCAATTTGAGTAGTAAGGCATGAAAAGTCATATTGGAAAATATTTAAACGAAATAAAAAGAAACAACATCTGGCACTTTGGTTCATTGGCATTTATAATAAATTCTGTTGTTGGTTGTTCGTTAAAGTTTGTTGGAAAAACTTTAAAATCCATAGTGAAGAGCACCGCTTAAATTTTTTTCAAAGTATGTGGTTTCCGCACGATGGTGGCCCACCTCAATTTGCTGTAATCGTTAAAAAATTACTGAACCAACAATTTCCTGAGAGGTGGGTAGGTGGACGAAGCGGTATAAATTGACCAGTGCGCTCTCCAAACCTTACAGCACTGAGAAATTCTTCTTATAAGGGATACGTGAAAGGGACTGTATACAAAGAAGTCAGAACAACAAAAGGGAATATAAAAATGTGCATATGTAATGCTTTCGCATCCATAACGTCAGCTATGTCTCGTCGTGTCAATTAAAGAATCCTTTTCTAAACACATTGGCAACTGTTTGGTATAGCATGGAAGATATTTTGAAAATTAATTAAAATAATTGTTGTTTTCCTTTTTACTTTTGGCTTGGCGTTTATAATTTTTCACGGCTTACTAATTACTGAGAGGCTTTAAAATCGATAAACACTGTGAAGGAGGGATTGTTGAATTACAAAAAAAAATACGTAAAAGATAAATACCGACATGCTTATATCGCTAGAAAGGTAATCAAATCCTGCATTTCATACAATAAAAAAAACTTTGTAGTTCCATTTAAAAAAATCAAGTTACCTTTGATTGAAATTTTGAAAATTGACGGATTGATTTCTTTTAACACAAAAGAAATTAAACTTTGAGCGTTCGCCGTATGTTGTTGCATTTCATGATTAGTAACACTGCAGAGTCACGGCCTTCGATAATTTTGATATACAATTTGTAATGAACCTCTACTTTTTGAAAATATCACAGATTGCGGCTAAACGACTCATTTTAGATATCATGTGTAATACATAAAGTCACACTAAAATTGATCAAGGAATCGAAATATGCAATAATATAATGGGCGTTCCATTTAAAAAATGAAACTAGGATATAAATCACCCTGTATAACAATTGCAATTTTGTTGAAAATATTTTTAGGTTATAGCCTTAAGGGTCCTTCAACATGCCCGACATGTGCGTTAATAAACCCACACTCTTCCACCCACACACTAATGGCCCACCCTGTATACTTGCTATCTGCCTGTCTGGAATTACTAACACGATACCTGGAGAACGGAGATTTTTAAATTCTTGTTTTCGGTAAATGATGAGTAAGATTTGCCCTTTGTGACAAAAATATGTCCAAGAATTGAATTTCATGCATTTTCTAGAAGATCTAAAACAAAACGGAAAGCATAACAGATAGGTATAGGGAATGTAATAAATTCATAGATGTAGAATTTTTTTACACATTTGAAAGTGCAAAAAAATAAAGAATGTTTTATTTGAAAAAATCACCTTTTTTCAAGTAATTCAAATTAACTATTAGTTTTAATACACCCTGTAGAAAGGTGATCAAAATTTAAGTCATTTGCATGTAGCATTAGATCAGTATTGTTGATTTTGGAAAACTTTTTGGAACTGAAGTCAACGGAGTTATAGGTAACTTACAGGGTATTTTGAATAACTTAAAATCTTTTGACGCTGGGTATAGGGAAATGCGGTATCAAACGATGTATATAGTATATTTCCGTGTAGATTTGGAAAATGCAATAAAATACAGGGTGTTCTATTTAAAATAAGATAGTTGCTATCCACATCCCGTAAAACACGAAGTGAAACGATCATAATAATATTTTGATCATCATCAATCATGAAAAACTACGCAAATTTTTAAATAATTAATGAGAGCCTGAATACTTTTAGAACGGTTTTCGTGACACAGCCTCATATAAATGCCAAATGTTTGTTAATTATTTTGTAAATGGAGGGGCAAGTAGAAAGTAAGTGGGATTGTGGGAATGTGATGGATCTTTTGGTATTAAACTCTTTAAACTGCCTTTCCATACTGTTTACTGATCTCCTGTCAATACAAAGTGTACTGTACCTAGCAATTTTAACCACTACAACTTCGTAAATTTAAGGAAATGTGTTAAAGAGAGAAAGCATATATCAGATGTCAAGGCTAATAAGTTCGCCGCATTCACCCTACCAAAATAGACGCCGAGTATTTTAGATTTGTTCCTGTAAGAGAAAAAGGTTTTTGTAAGAAGTCGTAAAACGGCGTTGATGCGGGCGGGTTTGATTTACACAACAGAGCTGATCTTTATTCCAGTAATTTGAATTACTACCGTGACTGTTATTAAAGCAATTCGTTGTGAGATGTTTATAAAACCATCCTCAAGAATAGAATTACACCATTATAAGTGCCTTTAATTACCGACATCACTTAGTGACAACCATGTCATTGACTAAACAAGATCAACCTAAATATTTAACGCCGTGACGTATTGCCAAAGAATCCCTCTATCGAGAGAATTACTGTTAAATGTCTTTCATCAACACACTTAGTACTTGTAAGCAAGAGTTAGTTATTATAACAAACGCATTTATAGGTTGTTTGAACAAGTCTTAAAATTCCCTAGACCTGAACCGATTTTAATTTAGACAGTCCGACAGTCATGGAGTGACGAAAATCTGAACTCATAAATTTATCGAAGTTTAGTGCTTCAACAATGTAATTTAATGTGGGGCCATCGAAAATAGCATGCACCTGTGTCTATAATTTCAATTTGTAAAATCCACCAAAGTAGTATTTCTAAGACTATTAAATTCGTGTCAAAATAACTTTTAATACCACAAGGGTTTGCGAATGACCACCCTATCGTAAATTACGAGTAAGATATGTTTACTATTTACGTCAGTTAAAAACTTCAACTGGACACTTGACAAATATTTCAAACAGATTCTTTAAAAAAGCCCTATGATATTAAACAAGATTAACACCTCACCTTTTCTTTCTTTTTTTAAGCTCTACAAATGGACGTTTGGGGAGTACTTTGTATAATTGGATAATTTTGTCTTTATCTTTTATTTTCTCTACGGCTATATGGTTACTTTATAGTCTACAAGTTTAATGCATTTTAAATAATAGATGCTGATGTTATCCCGACCCACCAAAAAAAACTCACTGTATGTATGTACCTACGTAAAGTATTGTCTAAATGAAAGGAATAAAAATTCATTAATTTCTATCTTGATGACGGCAGAGAAAAATTCCGAGACCCGTCTATTTTCTATTTCAAAATTACCTCATAATGTGTTAAAATTTAAAACCCTTAGAGAGAGGGTGGCTACACATCATTTGAAAGGTCTTTTAATTCGCTATTTAACAATATCAACAATCAAATCGGTTGTTCCCAAATAAACCGAACATAGGAAATTAACATGGGAAAAACGTTTTTTTTGCAGATCGTTGCCCCCTAACTTAGAGGGTTTATAATGACACCAATCAAAAGAAGATTTTTTTTCTCATCTATTGATATACGAATTATTTTGTTTTCAGGTGTCATTATTTTATCAAAAATTCCGCAATAAATCCAATTACCAAAATCATGTTAAGCTATGGAAATTTCCTAAAGAATTGAAATAGGTTTTCACACAGACGGAATGGCATGCTCATTAAAATGCACGGAAAACAAATATCGCGTACTAGAGTAAAGCTGTAAACGTTGTTTATTATAAATACTTTTTCCTCAGTGAACCGCATTTTACAAAAAAATTAATGCCAGTTGTTATAAACTGATATTGATTTCGACGTTTGAATCTGCTTTTTGTCTTACTAGTAATGGTTTAACATGATTTTGGTAAGTGGAT